CCTACCCCCCTCCCTGTACGCACGCGTACTTTTAACACCCCTCCCCTCCACGCAGAACGATCAAGGATGAATAATATTAACGTGTTTAAGCAAACAGATTGTCCACCGCTGGTCCTCCGGGTTTTCCCCCTCCACATTTGGTTTGAACCTCACGCTTTCAGAGTATTTGGCTGTAATACATGTCCACGTGGTGGTGAGCCACTTCTCGTTGAGCGATCATTTGTGGCCAGGTCGCTTCTGACAACGAGCTATATAGCCCAGCGGTGCCTTCTTACCTGCTAAAACAAACACAGTTTAGTTGAACATAATAATATATGCATTGTTATCATAGTATGTTTTTTGTTTGCATTTTGACTGCAAGTATTGTGGTTAATGCAGACATGAATCATCGTAAAAAGGTTTCAGTTTTGTTGCCAGAAAAAAGGGGAAACACCCTATTATTATATTTTGGTACTGACAAAGGAGGTGTAATGAAACAGTTTAGTTGAGTTTATTCGCTAACAGTACTTGGCCCAACAGCTTTTATAGGCTATACAGCGAATACTCTTTTGTTAAATCGGTAAAGTCACGTAGGTATAAAATAAAGTAAAATAAATCACGACGTTTTGGGCGCAACACAAGCGTCCGTCATCAGGTGGGAAAGCATGCGCCCGAAACGTCGTGATTGATTTCACTTAATTTTCTACCTACGTGACTTTAAACCGATTTAACAAAAGAGCATAGATTGCTGCAGTCACGAAAGCTTCAAATCAAGATCCTACAGGGGATCTTGAGCTACGGTCTCCTTGATACGCAGCGGTCCTTCCAGAGCCGGGCTAAGGGATGAAGCCGAGGGGATGGATGGGGGGGATGAGAGAGAGAGAGATAGAGAGAGAGATGTCGAGACTGCGCGCTGCGTGTGTCCGCGAGATCCCACCCCGTCCCATAGATCTGTGCACATCGGGGCCGCGATCTGCCGCTGTCGCACGGCACGTCACGCCGCCCCGATACGATCTCTGTATCGGAGAGTCACGTGACGCCTGTCTGTGGGTGACGGGGAGGGGGGTCATGACCTCCGCGTGCGTGGGAGAAGTACCCAACATTGCCTGTCCACCACGGTGCCACCTCCACCTCCTCCTCTCCCTCCTCCTCTCCCTCTTCCTCCTCCCTCTTCCGCGGGCACACGGATTGTATCTGGTGGCGAGGAGACGTGGCGATCGGTGGGGTAGAATACTCCGGGGGGCAGGGGTGGGTGGGTGTGTGGGTGGTTGTGGGTGGGGGGGGGGTGGAGGGGTGGGGGGGAGGGAGGGGGGCAGGGAGGTGTGGGTGGTTGTGAGTGGTTGTGGGTGGGGGGGAGGGGGGAGGGAAGTGTGGGTGGTTGTGTGGGTGGGGGGGAGGGAGGGGTGGGTGGTTGTGGGTGGTTGTGGGTGGGGAGAGGGAGCGGTGTGGGGGAGGGGGGTGGGTGGTTGTGGGTAGTTGTGGGTGGGGTGGAGGGGTGGGTGAGGAGAGGGAGGGGGAGGGGTAGGTGGTTGTGGGTGGGGGGGAGGGAGGGGTGGGTGGGTGGGTGGAGGGAGGGAGGGGAGGGAGCGGTGGGTGGATGTTGGGTGAGGGGGAGGGAGGGGTGGGTGGGTGGGGTGGAGGGAGGGAGGGGAGGGAGCGGTGGGTGGTTGTGGGTCGGGGGGAGGGAGGGGTGGGTGGGTGTATGGGTGGGGGGCAGGGAGGGGTGATTGGTTGTGGGTGGTTGTGGGTGGTTGTGGAGAGTGCAGTTGGGGCCTCACGCGGGAGAGGCTGACGTCAGGAACCACGGGGAGAGATGCTCGCACACAGACGTAGGGATACGTCACGTTTGCTCTTCATCCAGCAGCGGATAGAGCGCGACGAGAGATGCGCGCTTCTGACTTACACCGAGAGACAGAGCGACGAATAAGTGGATTGGAGGACATGACGCATACTGAGAGGCATCGCTTTAATCTTCATCCAGCAGTAGATAGACAATGAGGATGATGACGACGGTAAAGGCACGGATGAAGAGCAATGCTATAACTAGGAGTTGTTTTGGGGGGGGGGGGTGTAATAGAAAAATATATATCGTGTCTCTTCCCTCCACTCCCTCCCTCCACTCCCTCCACTCCCTCCCTCCACTCCCTCCACTCCCTCTCTCGCCTTTACTTCCTCCCTCCACTCCCTTTCTCCACTCTCTCCTCTCCCTCCCTCCATCCCTCCACTCCCTCCCTCCCTCCACTCCCTCCTTCCACTCCCTCCACTCCCTCCCTCCACTCCCTCCCTCCCTCCACTCCCTCTCCACTCCCTCCCTCCACTCCAGTCCTCCCTCCACATCCCTCCCTCCAATCCCTCCCTTCACTCCCTCCCTCCACTCCCTCCACTCCCTCCACTCCTCCACCCCTCCCTACCTCCCTCCCTCCACTACCTCCCTCCACTCCCTTCCTCCACTCTCTCCTCTCCCTCCCTCCCTCCACTCCCTCTCCACTCCCTCCCTCCACATCCCTCCCTCCAATCCCTCCCTTCACTCCCTCCCTCCACTCCCTCCACTCCCTCCACTCCTCCACCCCATCCCTACCTCCCTCCCTCCACTACCGCTCTCCACTCCCTTCCTCCACTCTCTCCTCTCCCTCCCTCCTTCCACTCCCTCCCTCCACTCCCTCCCTCCCTCCCTTCACTCCCTCCCTCCACTCCCTCTCCACTCCGTCCCTTCACTCCCTCCCTCCCTCCCTACCTCCCTCCACTCCCTCCCTCCACTCCCTCCAATCCTTCCCTCCACTCCCTCCCTCCCTCCACTCCCTCATTAAATCCACCCCGCATCCCTCCCGCCCACGATGATGACAATTCACGCGCTAATCCATCAGCTGCCCGTGAGTCGCCACCAACGGCACGGAGCTGCCACGAGCGCTCGCAGCACCTCGAACGGGGGCGCGGAACAGATCGCGGTGTTCCCGTTGCTGCACGTGTCTCTGTGTGTCTGTGTGTGTGTCTGTGTGTGTGTACGTCTGTGTGTCTGTATGTGTGTCTGTGTGTGTGTCTGTGTGTTTGTGTGTGTGTGTGAGTGTCTCTGTGTGTCTGTGTGTGTGTCTGTGTGTTTGTGTGTGTGTGTGTACGTCTGTGTGTCTGTATGTGTGTCTGTGTGTGTGTGTCTGTGTGTCTGTGTGTTTGTGTGTCTGTGTGTGTCTGTTTGTGTACGTCTGTGTGTCTGTCTGTGTGTCTGTCTGTCTGTCTGTGTGTCTGTCTGTGTGTCTGTGTGTGTCTGTGTTTGTCTGTCTGTGTGTCTGTCTGTGTGTCTGTCTGTGTGTTTGTGTCTCTGTCTGTGTGTGTGTCTGTGTGTCTGTCTGTGTGTCTGTCTGTGTGTCTGTGTGTGCATGTCTGTGTGTGTCTGTTTGTGTACGTCTGTGTGTCTGTTTGTGTGTCTGTCTGTGTGTGTGAGTGTCTGTGTGTGAGTGTCTGAGTGTCTGTGTGTCTTTCTGTGTGTGAGTGTCTGTGTGTGAGTGTGTGTGAGTGTCTGTGTGTCTGTGTGTGTGTCTGTGTGTGAGTGTGTGTGAGCGTGTGAGTATCTGTGTGTGTGTCTGTGTGTGAGTGTCTGTGTGTCTGTCTGTGTGTGTCTGTGTGTGTCTGTGTATCTGTGTGTGTCTACGTTTGTGTATGTGTCTGTGTGTGTGTGTCTGTCTGTGTATCTGTGTGTCTGTCTGTGAGTTTGTGTGATCGTGAGCAGAGGGTCGACCACGTAGTTCGTGAAGCCTTCGATGGTTGTACAGATACAATGAGAGGCTGATCGATGCCCGGGTGCGGTCAAGGGATGGCTCAAGGGATGGCTCTCTTATTAGTCAGCCACGTTGTGTATGCCGATGACCTGGTAATTGCTGCTCACTCAGAGGAGGAGTTGGAGGCGCTGCTGCTGAAACTGGAGTGTGCCACTAAGAGCTGGGGCCTTACCATCAGCCCCACCAAAACTAAGCACCTGCCTGGGTATTTTGTACCATCGGACACTCCACCCCCACAACTCCCAATTGGTGTTGGGGCAGTTGTGGAGAGAGTTGAGAGTTTCGAATTCCTGGGCAGTGTGCTCATGGCTGGCTCCGGTTTGACAGCAGAGGTCTCACTCCAAATCAGTTAAGAGGCATTATCTTTTCATCGGTTGCGTAACGCTGTGTGGAAGCGACCTGGTCTGTCACTCCACACGAAGCTTCAGGTCTTCTCGGCCACGGTCATTCCCTCCCTTCACTACGCTTGCGAAACGTGGACCCCCCCTAATGGAACATCTTCGCCGATTAGAAACATTTAGGCTGGCCTAAATGTCCCGGCCTTCATAGGTGCTCGCGAACAGCACTTGCCCCAACAGTCTGTTTAGGCTATAGGGGGGATTTTTGTTATAGTTGCGTGTGTGTCTGAAGCAGAACTGTAGTGTAGCGGTTAGCGCACTGGTCTATGACCCGGGCGACTCGAGTTCGATTCCCACCCACGGCCAACATCTGTGGCGAATATTCGAACAGGCCCTGGTCCCTCCCGTAGGTCAACTCAACCTTAAACAGGTACCTTCCACGATGCGTATTAAACATTAAAATCGTGCGGCCTTTGTAGGCTCTCACTATGCAACACTTGCCCCAACAGGCTCCCGAAGGCTATACGGGGGATCTTTGCCTTTGTGTGCTCAGGATATTTATTTAATTGTGAATGGCTCAATGTGATTTTGTTTAGAGAATTTACGTGTTTATTTATTTTCCAATTTATATAATTATATCCTGCACGTGAGTTCTGTGCAACCGCTCAGATGGAAGCGTTTAGTATCCAGGAGACCACTCGATTACTCGATCACTATCCCCGTGGCTTGAACAATAATGACAATAAGAAATAACATCAGTGCCCATTATTTATCCAGGGACAGCCTCACCGAGTCTCAGGAGCGCGCTAACCGCTGCGCCACCGCTCCCTGTAGATGCTGGAGCCAAACTCAATACAGATGAAAGGAGAGTGTAGACGGTTCTCAACTCCAGTTCACACCCCTAAGCCGAGTGATGAAAATGCCACATTCCTATTGCGGGATGAAGTGGAGCGCGGGGGGGGGGGTCTATCCATAGCACAGTTCACAAAGTGGTATCTTGCTTTATCGACCCAACTGAGGAATGATGGGCTGAATCAACCTCGCCATCGGGATTTCAAATCGCAAACGTTCACTTTGCGATCCATTCGCTGCTCTACCTAGAAAATTTGTCCAAAAATCATATTCATCATATTTGTATCGATTGTATATAATTATAATACCCTCCCCCTCGAATCACTGCACCAGATTGAATTGAATTAAGTGATGACGTCACCCTGATGCTGCTCTATTTAAGACCGGAAGCAACAGGAGAGCTTCACCATTCTTGCCCGATGAAGCTGATTGTAATTACCAGCGAAACGTCATGCTACTCAAATTTAAAAATGCTGTTGATTCTCTCTTCAGCACACCGGTGGGCTAAAGAAGTGAATTAATTTGTCCTTTGAAAAAGTGACACATTTTTTACTGTTTGGCCGTGTCGGGTGGTGGAGGGTTACGACACATTTATAAATAACGCGATCTGACCCAAAAACCTATATTATGAATGATTGTATGCATGTTGAACTTCTGTCGCACCGTACGTAGCTAACCGTGGAAATTCAGAATATTTGTGCTGGAGGAATCCGATGAGCTATTAAGCTCTTTTTTTTAAACAAATGTCCAGTAGGGGCACGTGGTCAGAACGTCGCAATAACAAACAATACAAAGAACACGATAGGGGTGCAAAGTCATCTTCTTGGTTCTTTCGGTAAAGTCACGTAGAAGGCAAATAATAAAATAATAAAAATAAAACATAATAAAATAATTCTCACGACGTTTCGACCACAACGCAAGCAGCCGTCCTCAGGTGAAAAACAGGTCTGTCGGGAAGACAGCGTCTCATTCAGACGCTGTCTAGAACGTTCCTCTCCAGTCCAGACCCCTCCCCCACCCCTCCTCCCCGCCCCTCTCCCCATCCTCCTACCCCCCTTCCACCCTCCCTGCACTACCCTAGAACCTTCCACGCACAACCACAGAATCGCCCCGACTTACTCCCCTCCCCTCCCTCCCTCTCTCTCGTCCGACACCCCCCGTCTCTCGTTGCATTGGCGCACAACAACAATAACAACAACAACAACAGCCGCCGTTCGCCGCCTTAGCAGACTGTTGGAGCAAGCGCTATTCAGGAGTAGCTATGAATTCCCCTTCAACAACTGGAGCTCTCCACCAAGTGGCGGTGACGTCCCCACGGTGCCCGTGCCAGGCTGGGTGCACGTTAAGGCCACGTGGAGTGTCAAACGCCCGCTGGCAGGGGGTCACGGAATAAGCTCTTCAGGTGCCATGGGTCGACTGAAATGACTGGTCGATGTAGCACCACCACCACCTGTGCCACCCTTCATCGTACACACACAAATACCAACACCCCGCCATTCTACACCGACTGACGGTGACGTCAACACAGCGCTTGTGCCAGGCTAGGTGCATACACACAAAAAATCAAACTATTATTACGTGTGCCCGAAGGCTCGCTGCTGATAGGAGGTCGCGAGACAAACCCCCGGTGACACGGCTTCCACCTTGATCGAGGCGACTGACAGATGCACCCAGCCGCGATTCGATCTGTGCCGACTCGCTGCGTTTTATCCCGCAAATGCGCTCCGCTCGTTGTTGTGAGCGTCGCTCCTCTCATCGCACACGCACGCTGCTGCCCTGACACGCTGCACGACACGATCGCAAAGTCTGTTCCCACCTCGGACACCCTGCCCATTCACCGCTTTACATGATCCGGGATTATCTAACACCAAACGCAAAGATCCCCCCCGTATCGGCGTAATAAACTATTGGGGCAAGTGCTGTGAGCGAGTAACTTTGAATGAATTCCCGCACAGTACACGAGCGGGCAGTTATCGGTCAGCACGGCACCCGGCCGCCTTTGTCTCCCTAATGGTACCAGGAGTGGCTGAGTCGACCCAGATGAGGCTTGGGACTGGCTAAGATAATTGTCACTGGTGGTGGTGGTGGTTGTGGTGGTGGTGGTGGGGGTGGTGGTGGGGGTGGTGGTGGTGGTGGTTGTGGTGGTGGTGGTGGCTCTGAGAGGGAATCGAGTTCGTTGTCTCCGGCAGCGCTCCCGGCCCTGCACACCCACACACACACACACCCTGCACACACACACAGCCACACACACACCCTGCACGCACACACAGCCACATACTGCACACACACACACCCTGCACACACACACCCTGCACACACCCTCTACACACACACACACCCTGCACACACACACACACCCTGCACACACACACACCGCACACACACACACACACAGCCACACACACACCCTGTACACACACACAGCCACACACACACCCTATACACACACACCCCGCACACACACCCAGCACACACAAACACACCCTGCACACACACACACACCATGCACACACACAGCCACACACACACAGCCACACACACACCCAGCACACACACCTTGCACACACACACCCTGCACACACACACCCCGCACACACACCCAGCACACACATACCCTCTACACACACACATACACACACCCAGCACACACACACACCTTGCACACACACACCCTGCACACACACCCCACACACACACCCAGCACACACACACCCTCTACACACACACACACCCTGCACACACACACACCCTGCACACACACACACACCCCCTGCACACACACACCCCCTGCACACACACACACCCTGCACACACACACACACCCTGCACACACACACACCCAGCACACACACACACACCTTGCACACACACACCCCCCCTGCACACACACACAGCACACACACACCCTACACACACACACACACCCTGCACACACCACACACCCTACACACACATACACCCAGCACACACACCCCGCACACTCCCCTGCTGCCCACCTGCTGTCCGATCCGACTCTCGCCGTGCCTCTCCCCCCACACCCCTCCTCCCCTAACCCGGTCGCTTGCTCCCTGCATCTCCTCCTCGATCTCCCTCCTCCATCACCACCACCTCCACCACCTCCACCTCCACCACCACCTCCACCACCACCTCCACCACCACCTCCACCACAACCACCGCCACCACCTCCACCACCTCCACCACCACCTTCACCACCACCACCTCCACCACCACCACCTCCACCACCATCACCTCCACCACCACCACCACCACACGTGTCTTCACTCATTCATCCTCACCGCCAGAACCTCACACCCCACTCTCCGCGTGCCCACACTCACAACCCCCAAACAAAGACAAAGATCCCCCGTATAGCCCTGAAACAGACTGTTGGGGCAAGTGCTGTCAGCGAGTAACACCTACGAAGGCCGGCACGGCACACGAGTGGGGTGAGGGGGGAGAGAGGGGGGGGGAGAGAGGGGGTGGGGAGAGAGGGGGGGGGGAGAGAGGGGGGGGGAGAGAGGGGGGGGGGGAGAGGGGGGGGGGAGAGAGGGGGGAGGGGGAGGTGATGGGTTGTCCATCACCACACGCGCGGACGCCTTTTTCTCATACGCGTCGATGCTCACACCCCGCACCAGCTACTCATTTGAGGCCGAGTCGACCCAGGTGTGACCCACGACCGCTTCTTCTCCCTCCCCCCATAACACCCCATAACACAGTGACGGCTGGGCCGACCGCAAGGAGGTGATCGCTGGCTACGAGACAGAGGCCGTGGGCGGCATCACCATCAAGCTCCGCTCGGCCGACGTGTCGTGGTTCGACGACTACTTCCTGAAGTTGCAGCTGCGGAACAACGCGCGCAACCCCTGGTTCCCCGAGTTCTGGCAGCATCGTTTCCAGTGCCGCCTCTGGGGCAGTCCGCAGGAGAACAGAGCCTACAAGCGCAACTGCACGGGTAACCAGAGGGCAAAGACAAAGATCCACCCACCTCCACCCCTACCCCCGTATACGCTTGGCAGACTGTAGGGGCAAGTGTTGTTAGCGAGTGGCACCTATGAAGGCTGGAACGGTACGGGGTGGGTGGCCAGCACCACGTCTGAACGCATTTGTCTCACCCAGTGGCGATGTTTACACACCGCACCAGGTACTCATTTGGGGCTGAGTCGACCTAGGGGAGGCCCAGGACCGGTTCAGATAATCGTCACTCGGTGTTGGCCGTGAGCGGGAATCGAACCCGGATCGTCGGGTTCATAGCGCAGTGCGCTAACCACTACGCCACCGCTCCCCACCAGAGGAGAGGGGAGGAGGGACGGGGGGTGTGGCGGCACGGGTGAGTGGGGAGGGGGGCCGCGGTGCAGAAATGTTTACTACCTCGCCTGGTATACAGGAGGTCGTGGGTTGGATCACGAATCTGACGCCCATTGTAGATTTTGAATTTGCGTGTCTCTCTCTCATCATCACGGTGGCTATGAGATGTTAACTACCTCGCCTGGTGTGCAGGAGGTCGTGGGTTCGATCCCGACCCTGACACTCGCTGTATATTTGGAGTTTGTGTGTCTCTCTCTCTCATCATCACGGTGGCTATGAGATGTTAACTACCTCACCACCGCTCACCCTCTCACCACCGCTCGCACACTCACCACCGCTCGCACACTCACCACCGCTCGCCCACTCACCACCGCTCGCACACTCACCACCGCTCACTCACACACACACACTCACCACCGCTCGCACACTCACCACCGCTCGCACACTCACCACCGCTCGCACACTCACCACCGCTCACCCACTCACCACCGCTCACCCACTCACCACCGCTCGCACACTCACCACCGCTCACCCACTCACCACCGCTCACCCACTCACCACCACTCACTCACTCACCACCGCTCACCCACTCACCACCGCTCACTCACACACACACACTCACCATCACCACCGCTCACCCACTCACCACCGCTCACACACTCACCACCGCTCACCCACTCACCACCGCTCACACACTCACCACCGCTCACCCACTCACCACCACTCACCCACTCACCACCCCTCACCCACTCACCACCGCTCACACACTCACCACCGCTCACACACTCACCACCGCTCACCCACTCACCACCGCTCACACACTCACCACCGCTCACCCACTCACCACCGCTCACACACTCACCACCGCTCACCCACTCACCACCGCTCACACACTCACCACCGCTCACACACTCACCACCGCTCACACACTCACCACCACTCACTCACTCACCACCACTCACCCACTCACCACCGCTCACTCACACACACACACTCACCCACTCACCACCACTCACTCACACACACACACTCACCACCGCTTACCCACTCACCACCGCTCACTCACACACACACACACACTCACCACCACTCACTCACACACACACACACTCACCACCGCTCACACACTCACCACCCCTCACCCACTCACCACCGCTCACTCACACACACACACTCACCACCGCTCACACACTCACCACCCCTCACCCACTCACCACCGCTCACCCACTCACCACCACTCACCCACTCACCACCGCTCACTCACACACACACACTCACCACCGCTCACACACTCACCACCCCTCACCCACTCACCACCACTCACTCACTCACCACCGCTCACCCACTCACCACCACTCACCCACTCACCACCATCCACTCACCACCACCCACTCACCACCGCTCACCCACTCACCACCGCTCACTCACACACACACACACTCACCACCACCCACTCACCACCGCTCACTCACACACACACACACTCACCACCGCTCACACACTTTCACCACCACCCATCCACTCACCACCACCCACTCACCACCGCCCACTCACCACCGCTCACTCACACACACACACACTCACCACTGCTCACCCCCTCACCACCGCTCACTCACCTCCACCCACTCACCACCACCCTCTCACCACCACCACCCTCACCACCGCTCACCCACTCGCACCGTATCATCCGCCAGGCAACGAGAACCTGCAGACCAACTACGTGCAGGACAGCAAGATGGGCTTCGTCATCAACGCCATCTACGCGATGGCCCACGGCCTCCACCGCATGCAGAGGTCGCTGTGCGGGGGCCACCTGGGCCTGTGCGCGGCCATGCGTCCCGTGGACGGCAGCGCCCTCCTCGACTTCCTTATGCGCACCCAGTTCCGCGGCGTCTCCGACGAGGACATCCGCTTCGACGCCAACGGGGACGCGCCGGGCAGGTGAGGCCGGCGGCGGGGGGTGGGGGGAGGTGGTGGTGGTGGGGGAGGTGGTGGGGGTGGGGGGAGGGGCGGGGTGGGGGTGTGAAGGGGTGGGGGGAGGTGGAGGGGGGGAGGTGGTGGGGGAGGGGCGGAGGTGGGGGGAGGTGGTGGGGGAGGGGCGGGGGTGGGGGAGATGGAGGGGGGGAGGTGGTGGGGGAGGTGGTGGGGGTGGGGGGAGGGGCGGGGTGGGGGTGTGAAGGGGTGGGGGGAGGTGGAGGGGGGGAGGTGGTTTGGGGAGGGGCGGAGGTGGGGGGAGGTGGTGGGGGAGGGGCGGGGGTGGGGGAGATGGAGGGGGGGAGGTGGTGGGGGAGTGGCGGGGGTGGGGGGAGGTGAAGGGGGGGAGGGGCGGGGGTGGGGGGTTGAAGGGGTGGGGGGTTCATATTCTTAGGTTTTTTCGGTAAAGTCACGTAGGTAAAACAATTAAAATTAACAAAAGTAAAATAAAAATAAAATAAAAATCACGACGTTTCGGAGGCAACACAAGCTTCCGTATTCAGGTGGAACCGTCACAGCACGATAGCTGTATCAAGGGGGGGGGGGGTTCTGTTCCGTCTTTATTTTGTCTCGTATGGCCCCTTGATGATGCAATGTCGCACTCAAGGTGCTCAAGCCCCAGGTAACCGCGCTAGGAGCGGGGGGGGGGGGATGGAGTCGTAGGTGTTTCATCACCATCGCTGCGATGTCTCCTTCTTCGTATTTGTGCATCTCGTGGCGTGGCGCCGTTACGCGTCGAACTCCGGTCTATTCTGAACAATCACAGTCACGGCACACTGCTACTGAAGAGTTTTTAAGTTTACATGAGCGCATCATCATCTGCTGCTGCCATGGTTGCTGTAATGGATGCGATTTAGGGTTGACCACGTGCTTCGTGGAAGATCAAAATACGAGAGAATGTCTGCGTTGGGTGTGTTGCGTGACCTCCTGCCCAGTGGGCCTTCGACGCTTCGACACTGCATTGAAAACTAATTTCTCTACAGCGGTGGCTCTTCACTGCAAGGCCCGCGTGCCACTGGATGTCCCTGGTGACCTTTAGTGCGGCCAGCGACAATGTGCAAACAGTGATAACACTATATTCTTAGGTTTTTTTCGGTAAAGTCACGTAGGTAAAACATTAAAAAAGTAAAATAAAATAAAAATCACGACGTTTCGGAGGCAACACAAGCTTCCGTCTTCAGGTGGAACCGTCACAGCCACGACAGCTGTATCAAGTAAATGAGAGATTGCAGGAGATACCACTCCGTTTATATAATGGTTGGAGAAGGTGGTGGGGCAAGGGCCGCATACTTTTTATTAATATGGTAAGGTGAGGCTTAAGAGGGTGAGCCTTTGTTATGGAGAGGTACGGTTTGTGAATCAACCTGTGACAGGGAGACAACCATATTAATAAAAGTATGCGGCCCTTGCCCCACCACCTTCTCCAACCATTATATAAACGGAGTTGTTTTATTTTTATTATTTTATTACTTCCCTTCTACGTGACTTTACCGAAAGAACCAAGAAGAGGAGTGGTAACTCCTGCAATCTCTCATTTACTGTCGTGGCTGTGACGGTACCGCCTGAAGACGGAAGCTTGTGTTGCCTCCAAAACGTCGTGATTTTTATTTCATTTTACTTTTTTAATGTTTTACCTACGTGACTTTACCGAAAAAACCTAGGAATATGAATCCTTGCAGTCACGAAAACTTCAAATCTAGAAGTGATAACACTCCCCATCATTATCATCATCGTGCTGCTGTCAAACCCAACAATGGTTTCAAATGTGTAGCGGCCCTCACACTGATCATGTCTTATCGGCAAAGGTGACACCTCCTCGCACCCCACCCCCCGAACATCAGTGAAGAAGACTGCTCTCAATTGACAACTCATTTCTTTACAACAGCTTTTTGTGCGTTAGTTTGCTGTCCTTCCGCCGCGCCTCCGATTCAGCGCGGTTGGCTACGTCCCGTGCGAAAATAAGTTCAACAGACGGTACATATGAAATGTAACGACTGCGGACACGCCACTGTAGAGGCTTCTTCTATATTTATTTCGTGCACACACACGACTACGACTCGGTAGCACTGAACATAACGCTGACTTTTTCGATTTAAAGCTTTCGTGACTGCAGGGATTCATCTTCTTGGTTCTTTTCGGTAAAGTCACGTAGAAGGGAAGTAATAAAATAATAAAAATAAAACATAATAAAATAATTATTTGATTATTACCGAAAGAACCAAGAAGATAACGCTGACTGTCTAGCGACGACAGCCAGGACCCCAATCCCCCACGACAGCCCCGAACCTTGCTTGTCCCTGCCTTTTATTCCCCCAGCGTGGCCACGCCCCTCTTCTCGAACTCTCTCGCGGGTTCTAAGAGCTTCCAGCAGAATCCCCTCTTTGACCCTTGGCCCAGTGATCCCCCCTTGTGGTCGCGCGCGTGTATACTCACTTATCTCGTTTTTATTCTGTTCCCACGCCCGTCATTACCACCTATGGCCGCTAGTCGGCGCACTGTCTCTACACATACGCACGCGGCCTTGAAGTGCATCTAGCATGGCACACGCGCCGCGGTGACGTCACTGCCAGTTAGCGGTGAATGGCGGATGTCGTTGTTGTTGTTGTCGTGGGATTCCATCCTATTCGTGGCCGTGATGCTGGCGGCAGCAGCGATGTGGTTCAGGAGCTCCATGTCAATGTCGAGGTCTTGCTGCTGATTATAGATTTGAAGCTTTCGTGACTGCAAGGATTCATATTCTTAGGTTTTTTCGGTAAAGTCATCTACATGGCAGAGGCTCGGTCTCATTTGCAGCATTTGTTATGTAGGCTAGGCGTAGTCACAAACCGCACCTCTCCATAACAAAGGCTCAGTTATTTGTTATGCAGTCCATTCTTAGTCTTAAGCCTCACCTTACCATATTAATAAAAAGTGTGCCGTTCCTGGCCCTTCCCCTCTCAACCATTATATATACGGAGTGGTATCTCTTGTAATCTCTCATTTACTTGATACAGCTGTCGGGCTGTGACGGTTCCACCTGAAGACGGAAGCTTGTGTTGCCTCCGAAACGTCGAGATTTTTTTTATTAATTTTAATTTTAATCTTTTGTACCTACGTGACTTTACCGAAAAAAACCTAAGAGTATGAGTCCTGCTGTTGCTGCTGCTGCTGCTCGCCACAACGAGAGAGCTTTAGCAGACAGAGAGGAGTTCGCGTGGTGTCGCCGTTAAACGTTATCGTAGTTGTTTCACGACGGCAGATTCGTGCGTGATTATTCACCAACGGCTCTCATGCACGATATGATTTCACGCGTTTATCGGTCGCATCACGTAACCCCTGGGACATCGCCACGCACCTCCAGGAGTCCCCGGTTGAGAATCATTGGTGTAGTGTATAGTGTAGTGTATAGTGTAGTGTATAGTAGTTTAGTGTATAGTGCAGTGTGTAGTAGTGTATAGTGTAGTGTATAGTAGTGTATAGTGTAGTGTATAGTAGTGTAGCGTATAGTAGTGTATAGCGTAGTGTATAGTAGTGTCGTGTATAGTGTAGTTTATATTAGTATCCTCTATAGTGTAGTCTATAGTAGTGTAGTGTATAGTGTAGTCTATAGTGTAGTGTCGTGTATAGTGTAGTGTATAGTAGTGTCGTGTATAGTGTAGTTTATAGTAGTGTCATCTATAGTGTAGTCTACAGTAGTGTAGTGTATAGTGTAGTCTATAGTGTATAGTGTAGTGTCGTGTAGTGTATAGTGTAGTGTATAGTAGTGTATAGTGTAGTGTATAGTAGTGTAGTGTATAGTGTCGTTTATAGTAGTGTCATCTATAGTGTAGTGTATAGTGTGTAGTGTAGTCTATAGTGTATAGTGTAGTGTCGTGTAGTGTATAGTGTAGTGTATAGTAGTGTAGTGTAGTCTATAGTAGTGTATAGTGTAGTGTATAGTGTAGTGTATAGTAGTGTCGTGGATAGTAGTGTAGTGTATAGTGCAGTGTGTAATGTAGTGTATAGTGTAGTTTATAGTGTAGTGTATAGTAGTGTCGTGTATAGTAGTGTAGTGTATAGTGTAGTGTATAGTGTATAGTATGTATGTAACGACTCACGTGTGCGATATAATTTCACGCATTTATGAATCACCCCACGTAACCCCTGGGATATCGCTACGCACCCACAGGGCTCCGCCTCGTACCTCCCGGTCGAGAGCCACTGGGGGCTTGAGGTCACTCGCAAGGAAGTTGCCAGGAGCGGTTCTATGATAACTCGCCACTGATGTTAGCCGTGACACAACGAACACGCAACAACAACGACCGCCGTTCGCTCAGAGGCGGAGACGTCACCGCGGCGCTTGTGCCAGGCTAGGTGCACCCTGCTGGACACATGAAGTGTGGATGGCTTGCTGGCAGGAGGAGGTCACGGGACAGACCCAGGTGCCATGAGGTCACTGACTGAGATGATGCACCAGCTGTGCTGGCCACCGTGCCAAATTGTTGCGCTTTAGTCGCTCGGCGCTCCGCTCGTTGTTGTGAGCGTCGCTCCGCTGTTGTTGCAGCGTCCTTCACGAGCCTCCTCCACAGAGGCCGATCTTGACATCGCTGGTACCGGTCATCGGCAAGTCCACTCAGCTCCTCCACATCATTACACGCGCACAGATGAACGCACGCGCGCGTGCGCGCATGCATTTAAAGGGATTAGCGAAGAGTAAGAGGCTAACGCATTATGCGTGTACACAATGCGCTGAACATCAACAACAGTAGCCGACGTCACCGCGCAGCGCTTGTGCCAGGCTAGGTACACTTTGAGGTCACGTGAAGCGCAGGCTTGGTTGTTTGGAGGGAACTCACGGGCCAGATGCCAGCTGCTGTGGGTGGAGCGAGATGATTGGTGCGGAGTCAAATGCTCACAGACGCAAAGACAAAGACCCCCCGTATAGCCTTAACAGACTGTTGAGGAAAGTGCTGTTAGCGAGCACCTATGAAGGCCGGCACGGCACAAAC